CAAACAGGCTAATATATTTTGGGTGTTTTATAGGGTTGTTGATGCAATGCAGTTAACTCATGCGATTAATTAAAAAAAATTAATTACGATTAATCACACTATTAAACAATAGAACACCAATTGAAATTTATTAAATATTTTGGATGTTTTTCTACATTTTCATATATATTGTATTTTGTGTAATTGAAATCAAAGTGAATGTTATTTTTGATCATCATTTTTACAGTGCAAATATTTGCAAACAAAAGAAATAGTCTTTTTCAATTCACCTCATACAAGTACTGTAGTGCAATCTCTTTGTCATGAAAGTGCAGCTTACAAATGTAGGGTTTTTTTTGTTACATAACTTCACTCAAAGACAAAACAACGTAAAACTTCAGAGCCTACAGGTCCACTCAGTCCTACTTCTTGTTCAGCCAATCGCTAAGACAAACAAGTTTGTTTACATTTACAGGAGAAAATGCTTCTCTCTTCTTCTTTACAATGTCACCAGAAAGTGAGAACAGGCGTTTGCATGGCACTTTTGTAGCCGGCACTGCAAGATATTTATGTGCCAGATATGCTAAACATTCGACAATAAACATTCATACTTTGGCCACCATTCCAGAGAACATGCTTCCATGCTGAGAACCCTTGTTTAAAAAATAAAAATAAAATAAAATTAAAAAGTGTGTTAATTAAATTTGTGCCTGAACTCCTTGTGGGAGAATTCTATGTCCCCTGTTCCGTTTTACCCACATTCGGCCATATATTTCATGTTCTAGCAGTCTCGGATGATGACCCAGCACATGTTGTTCATTTTAAGAACACTTCCACTGCAGATTTGACAAAATGCACGGTACCAATGTGAGATTTCTAAGGATAGCTACAGCACTCGACCCTAGGTGGTTTGAGCATTGGCCTGCTAAACCCAGGGTTGAGAGTTCAATCCTGGAGGGGCCCACTTAGGGATCTGGGGCAAAATCAGTACCTGGTCCTGCTACTGAAGGCAGGGGGCTGGACTCGATGACCTTTCAAGGTCCCTTCCAGTTCTAGGAGATAGGATATCTCCATTAATTTATTTTATTTAATCTGAAGTGCCTTCCAAAATCTGAGAGGCATGAGGTGTGGAGTATGCTTTCAGAAGTCTTAAAAGAGCAACACTTTGATGCAGAAACTACAAAACCTTGAACCACCAAAAAAGAAAATCAACCTTCTGCTGGTGGCATCTGACTCACATAATGAAAATGAACACGTCTGTCTTAACTGCTTTGGATCGTTATCGAACAGAACCCATCATCAGCATGGATTCATGTCCCCTGGAATGGTGGTTGAAGCATGAAGGGACATATGAATCTTTAGAGCATCTGGCATGTAAATATCTTGCGATGCCGGCTACAACAGTGCCATGAGAATGCCTGTTCTCACTTTCAGTTGACATAAACAAGAAGCGGGCAGCATTATTTCCTGCAAATCTAAACAAACTTGTTTGTCTGAGTGATTGGCTGAACAAGAAGTAGGACTGAGTGGACTTGCAGGCTCTAAATTTTTACATTGGTTTATTTTTGAATGCAGTTTTTTTTACATAATTCTACATTTGTAAGTTCAACTTTCCTCATAAAGAGATTGCACTACAGTACTTTCTTTTGTTTTTTACAGTGCAAATACTTGTAATAAAAAATAAATATAAAGTGAGCAATGTACACTTTGTATTCTGTGTTGTAATTGAAATCAATATATTCGAAAATGTAGAAAACATGCAAAATTATTTAAATACATGGTATTCTATTGTTTAACAGTGGAATTAATCGCATGATTAATCACAATTAATTATTTTAATCGCACAATCGTGAGTAATTTTTTAAATTGCTTGACAGCCCTAGTTTTTTTTATTACATGTATTATAACTACTTGTACCAAAGATGAGTTATGTATTACTTGGTTTGATACTTTTGCTTTTCAGTTCTTTTACCTTTATGCTGACTATTCAACAAACTACAGTTCTCTCCTAAGCTCAATTTGTTCCACTGGGTGTGTAAGTAAAGTCAGAAAAGGTTTGATCTGCTCCGATGCGGTAGCTTTCAGAATGCTTAATAAAACCTCCATTCTGCTGGAAAAATGGTGATGGTTTGCCCATCATTTAAAAATATTTGTAAAGTAAATGTAATTACGGAAGGCATTTTGTTAGCTGCAAATTCATCCACTATAGTTGGTTGAAGGTGTCTTTGTGCTTCTGTTGTAGAACAGAATCTTAATTTATTTTTTGCACCAAGATTTCTTAATTCTAATCCTAAATTAGCAAAAGAAATTGGAGGCCAAATGAGTAGTATTTATCACCAAAACTGTGACAATAAGTTATGTTAAACTGCACTAACCAAAAACCACCAAATGATTTCAACAGTATCTCTGAGCCAAAAGGTAGTTTCCAAATAGTCTTTTGAAGTTTACTCTAGAGCCAAGGGGCATAACAGCTGAATGTCAGTGAGTCCATTCGAGTAACAATGCACAACTGTCTATCAATTTTAAACCATAATTGCTGGAGATTTGTAATAATGAATCTAAATATCCTAGTACCTTTCATTTCATTTTTAAAAATTGGCAGTAACAGTGAAGAAGCTGGCAATTAGCCAGTGAAATCTTGTCAGGTTGTCTGTAAAGAGATCATAATGGCAGGTTCTACATGGGTAATCAAATATAAACTGAGCACTGAAGCTGTATCCAGTGTACAACTTTTTTAAGAAAGGGGTTTTATTCCTAGATCAATTAACAAAATAATAATAATTAAACACTATTAATATTGCTTTGTAAAAACTAATTTATTAGAATCTGTAAAACTTTTGCTTTCTATTTTGTTAGAGAATAATTGTGCAGTGCGGAATTGCTATAGAAGTCAATGGAAAGTTTTATCAAACAAATGAGTCAATTGCTGATTTTTCTATCTCATTTACACATAAACATTTCTGTTTCCACTGATCAATAACTTATCAACAATTTCTTGTTCCTGTAGCTCATGTGCATTTTCAAAAACCTCCACACAATGCCTCCTGGTGTGTAGCGTAATTTATTTTGCTTATATCATACACCCCCATCCCACCGCTCCGAAGAGCTCTTTTGCTTACCAAAAATTGTCACAGTTGCTCCACTAATTACTAACAATAGGCTCGATTTTGCAGCCCTTACTCTGTTAGCAAGAATTTAGTCACACAAGGAATGTGGCTCTGGGGCTCCTAGTGTGAATAAATGCTCACAAATGTGAGTAACGGTTGCATGGTCTAACTCAATATAAGGCCATTTTTCAGTGTCTTTGCTCTATAGCAATATATGTGTAGGAAAATTAAGCCATTTAATGTGGTTTAACAATATTTCATATTTATTCATATGCATTCAAAATGCATTTTAGTACAAACATTAAACCTTCAACCCTGACAAAAATCTGTCCTGGAAAGTGCATGTTGTTTCCCCACAAAGCAACATAAATAGTTTTGGGAAGATGGCATGTATATTATTTCTACTCTGAAAAGATGCACCACCTCACTTTCCATGTTTGTATGTCCTGTCTGCTTACTTCATTGACATGTTTTGCTACTTTTAATATCAGTCATTGTTAGCTCTTCTGAGCCAATAGGGCCCGGAGAGACTGAGCTAGTGTCTTTGTCTCTTGAGAATCATCAGAATAATTGGAGTTGCAATTGAGGGCCAAGTTCTGGTTGGTTGTGGCTTTGGAACCCCATTGCAAAGAAGTGTGTCACACAGGCGTAACAGAGAGTGTAATTTGGACTTCAAAACCTTTTTTCTGGTAATGTATGTCATCCCAGGTTGAGATACTGGGATATTAGTTACAAAAACCATATTTATACTTGTAAATTGAGCAACTTTTGACCTGGCAGTCCATAGATGATATACACTTAGAACCCCACAGTGCCCTTTTTAGTTTCTTTAGAACAGAATGGCACCTTAACTTAACTGAGATCTGTAAAGCCTTTCATTCCAAAGGATCACAAAATACTTCAGAAACCATTATACAAACAGAATATATGGTTCACTCCACTCTCCACTGAAACACAGACATTCCTGGCATGAAATGTAGCAGTTCTTAAACAGGCAAAAAGAGTGCTACCCAAAAGTATAAGATAGGAAGTAGAAAAAAGATTCCTGTATCCATTTGAAACTGCTGGGAGAATTCAGCAAGAATGGCCCAGATCCACAAAGGGATTTAAGTGTTTAAGGCCCAGATTTAGTCTCCCAGATTTAGGATGGGATATTTTAATGTGGGTTTCTCTCAGTATTTCCTGTTGAAGTCATTCCTCTTTGTGTTAATAATTACTCATTGGACAAGAGACAGTGAGAGTGACTCTGTAGCGCAGTGGTTAGGGAACTCACCTGAGAGATGGGAAAGCCTGATTCAAATCTCTTCTCTTCATGAGGCAGAGGCAGGAATTTGACCTGGGATCTCCAACATCCCAGATGAGTACCATAACTACTGGGCTAAAAGTTATAAGGGAGACCGTCTTCCCCCCTCCCCCCCCCCCCCCCACCACCACTCCAGTTGTTTTGTGTGCAGTTAGGCATGTGTTGCTGCCATTGTTGCAAGAACTAGCTTAGGCACCTAGGGTGCCTGACTCCAGGAGAGTGTTCCCAGCTGTGGATTGCAAGCACAGATAGATGCTACCCTATATCCTGGAATTAAGCACCTGATGCTTTTAGATAGGTAGACCTGGCTTACATAGCACCCCCGCCAAGTGTGTTGCCTTTAGTGGATTGCATTCCCAAGTGCCTCTCTTTTCCCATATTTGTATAGACTGCCTAAGTGGCTAACTCAGTGGATTCCCCTGAGTGGCTAGCAGCCTAAATTCCTTTGAATCTGTTGCTACTCCTGTAGTCTCAATATTTTGTTTTGAATTGTATTTTAAATATGTTTGAACATTAGTACCTGCCAACCCATGTATTTTCTTTTCCTCTTTTTTAGAGTGAGCTGTTTTGAATCCCTTCATTTATCTATCTTCAACTCTTTCTCTTTTCAGGATCATGCATGATAGTGGATTCCTCAGACCATGATCCTGGAGAAAAGGCTCGACTTCAACTTCCTACGATGAAGGAAAATGACACTCACTGCATTGATTTCAGTTACCTTTTATATAGCAAGAGTGGAGCGAACCCTGGAACCTTGAACATTTTAGTTAGGGTGAACAAGGGACCTCTTGCTAATCCCATTTGGAATGTGACAGGCTCTACTGGCAGAGACTGGCTCCGAGCTGAGCTGGCTGTCAGCACCTTCTGGCCAAATGAATATCAGGTAAGCCTACAAGACATCCTCCTCTTATTGCCATGGTGTTAAATGTGCCAACGTGTGGTGTTGTGACACCCATGAGACCTGATGTATTTAAAGAGCTTTTCCGTACAATTGTAAGTGTGTGTTCTCCCATTCAGTACAACACTCCTTTTGGGGTAAGGATTTTTCACATGAAGTTTAAATTCACAAGGACTCTGTTTTGTATGATGTCCAAAACCCTACATTAAAAGCATTCTATGAAACTTGAAAATCCAGTACTCAGAAGTTAGGAAATGTCAGAGTTAAGGTTGCCTGTGCATTCTTAACCCCCTCCCCCCTGTGCATATGCATTAAGATACAGTCTTTAATTACATGATCACAAACCATTTTTCCCCCCTATCGGAAGCCTGCCTCGTTCAATGCCCAGGATGGATGGTGCTTGCTTAATGGGTAGCTGTTCAATATTTGGTTTTCTCCTTATTTTTCAGTGTGGGCCGATGCCTTTTTTAGTGTGTACTATTCAAACCCTGCTGTGAAGACAGAATTATTAGTTTTGTCATGAGCTTTACTGTGGCTCTTATCACTATACCATCTAAGCGTGTCCCAAACACTAATGAATTTATTTTCACAACACCCCTGTGAGATGAGATAGTATTCCTATCCCCATTTGGGGGGGGGATAGTTGGGGAACTGAGGCAGAGGTTAAGATCAAAGTATCCATTCATTTTGGGTGCCCAATCTGAGACACCTAGGATCTGATTATTCAGACTTCTTATGAAGTGCTATAAAATGCTGTGTTTGAAGGACAGCTCCCATTGACTTCAGTAGCAGCTGTGAGTGCTCAGCACTTCTGCAAATCAGGCTCTAGGGTCTTAAGGCAGTCACCCAGAAAATGAGGAACACACAGTTAAAGACCACCTGTGAAAAGTTTGGTTTAAGCGATTTGATTGGCATCACATAACAACTCTGTGGCAGAGGCAGGAATAGAATCCAGTTCTCCAGAATAGCTTTCAGTTGCAAATTTACCAGTAGTAAGGAGACATTGTCAAAACAGTTAGGCTTAACACCACTTTGAAAGTTGTTTCACCTTGTTGGTATTAAAGTAACTAGAAATGGGCTCTGTTGGATTAGTTTGAGAGAAGGCTGCCCTTCTGGTCACTTGAAGCTGTTGCTTCAGGCTACTCAGGGATATGGTGTGAAGAACAAAACTGATGTACACAAGAATACAGCCATGTGATAAGGAGGAACTGTGTTAACTAGTTACATCTGCTAAGAAGTGTCAAACAATCCGTGTCAGAGCTCTGCACAATACTCTAAGGGACTGATCCAAAGTCTATTCAAGTCAATGGGAGTTTTCTATGGATTTTAACAGGGTCTGTGTCAGACCCCAAAGAAGCTGTTCTGATTCATTGCATTAAGTGTCTATATGAAGGGTGGTGGGTTCAAAATTTTCTAAATATCAATTATAGAATTTTGTATTGCTGCCCATCACCATAGTACCTGAGTGTCTTCTATGTAAAACCTGTAGCAATAAACGAGTCCCTAGTGGATTCTGAGGAGTTTCTGGCACTTCACTCATTTCAGGGTTAAAACTGTACTAGGAATAGGATTGTTGTTGTTTTTTATTTTTTTAAAGATTTTTATCAACTCCTCCCACCCTTATTTTTTGATTGGGAGAGGTCTAGAGGTAGTGGTGTAGGAAGTATGAGCATTGTGAGTGGAAAGACTTTTTCAAAGAGGAAGGTTTTGCAGTATTTTCTAAATATGGTCAGACTAGATTCACCTCGATTGATATTTAAACAAGATATGAGTATTCCATTATGCTTTAGCTCATCGGGTGCCAGTCACAGCCATATGTTTCTCTCTTATTGGTTTCTGTTTTTTAATACTGCTGTTTTACTTTCTCTCTTTTTTTAAAGTTTAAAGGTATTTATACCACAAAATATGTTCAAATAACACGAAATTATTAACGCCATGAAAGAAAAGTTCAGATAGTTTGAGTTGTTTTGGAGGGGAGAGGGGTGTTTCGCTAAGAGCCTTGATATTATTTAAAAGCAGGAATGATTTATTGGTAGTTTTTATAGCAGTGATCAAGTTTTTGTGTACCGCGGTAGTCAGACTTGGCAATGAGATTGGTGGTTGGGGGTTTATGCAGGTACCATAGCCATTCTTCATTTATGTTATAACCTTCATATAATTTCTGTAAAATCCTGCATTCAAAAGGTCCCTCCCACTCCCAGCTCCCCAGTGTAATGTTAAAATAATGTAAATTACATTGTTGTTCAATTTTCTTATTTTTAAATTAAAAATAAGAAGTAGGTGTGTAGGCCTGCCGTGACCTATACATAAGCTGCACCTGGCCTGTAAATGCTGCCTTCCTGCTGTTCCTGGTTCAGTCAGTTGCACCAGTCTAATTTTATATAATTTCTTACTAAGAATGGAAAATGTATGACTGTGTGTTTTTATGTTTTTGAATAGAATTACTTTTTTCTGTCCTGTAAATGCTTCCTTTGAGGTCTCGAGGTTAACAGCGCTCTTTCAAGAACACAGTTATTTACAGTGTTAGCTTTAACGTTGAGCTATATTACAGAGCACAGTATGAATGCCTCTTCTGTTCAGTTGCATTCTGAGTGACAGTGCTGCAGTTCACTAGCTCTGTAGGTTGCCTGTCCACCTCTTGTGAGTTCAGTAAGCAGTACAGGAAGAACCTAGACATGTTTAAAACAAGATTGAAGGCAAACAATTTGTTTTGAGAATTGCATTGTCATAAACTAAACCTGGCTTGGTACAGATCCCCAAGCAAGGTCACCTTTTGTTAAAGATTATAAACTGGAAAATTTATATAATATGTGCACTTTTAATCCAAGCAAACCTGCATATCTGATTTTTTTTTAAATTTCTTTCCATTTACTTGAAAAAGTCAAGTAGAAGTCAATAGGTAATACAGTGTATCAAAAGTGATGTGTATCAGTTGTTTAGATACCGAGACACACATATTCGCCATCTCTTAATGACACATACTATGTTTAAAACAAACTCAAGGGATGAACTGGAGAATTACAGGCCAGTAAACCTGGCATACCTGGTAAATTGATTGAAACGATAATTAATAGTAGAACAATAAAATACCTGGAAATCATGATAATACGGTCTGTTCAGCACAGTTTCTGCAAAAGGAAATTTTCTCTCTAATGTATTAGAATATTTTGAACATATTTAGTATTGGATAAAGAGAAACCGATTGACATAGTTGATTTAGATTTGACAAAGTCCTTCACAAAAGGCCACTGAATAAAGGAAGTAGTCATGAGGTAAGAGGCAAAATATTGTTGTGAATCAAAAATAGGCAAAGCGGTGTTCTTTGTTAATGAGACCAAATCCAAAGAATGGAGCAAGTTTGTATTTTATATAGTGTAAAGACTGTGTTGTAAGTGGACTGAAAAAGGAGTTTCCTTCCACTCCTTAGTATGTTATTAAAAATCTCATCACTTACTTTTAATTGTTTAGCTGTGTTCTGTTGACCATCATATGCCTGTTGCAAAAGAAGAAATGCTTAAGTTCTGCAAAAGCTTTGCCTGAAATCAGTGTTCTCCATTGCATTCATATAGCAGAATGTAGCATTCTATGGCAAACCCCAAAATTCCAAGTGCTGAACTATATTAAAGCTATAGGGCACATAAGGTGAGTGAATAGGTTGCTGATAAAAAGCAAGATAAGAGGGCTCTGCTCCTGTTCTTTTGACACTCCTGTACCACATGCAGTAAGTGATAATTTAGAAAAGAGTAGATGTATTTTTGTAAGAAATGTTGCACTCATTCCAAAGCATAGTTGCCATTGGCTAACTGCTCGCTGGGAAATGAAAAGGAGGCTGGCTGATCTTGCTGTGTTCCTGTGGGTGCTTTCTAGCAAGAGGGTCAGTAATTCTTCCACTGTAGGTTTTATACTCTAGGAAATTCCTGAAGTTATGTAATGATATGATTTATCTCTTCTGCTACTGGCAAGATATTTTCATTTTTCCTGTTTAACATGGGGATGAACTCTCTAGGAGAATTGTTTGGTTAGAGAATCCTTTGGGATTGAAGGCCCATATTTGAATTTGGTACTCATTAGTTTTTGTTTAGTTTTGTTACTGTTGTAATGGAAAAAGGCCACCCTTGACTTGTCTAAAATCTATTTTAGGGAAAGGAATGTCTGAGGTTGTATTGTTTAATTCACTCTGGAGTTTTGTGTCTTTCATTTTCCATATTGGTTACTATAAAGCAGGGGTTCTCAAACTGGGCGTCGTGAGGTTATTACATGGGAGGTCACGAGCTGTCAGCCTCCACCCCCAAACCCCGCTTTACCTCCAGCATTTATAATAGTGTTAAATACAAAAAAGTGTTATAATGTATGAGGGGGGACGCACTCAGAGGTTTGCTGTGTGACGGGTCACTAATACAAAAGTTTGAGAAACACTCCCGTAAAGCATTAATTTATTCTAGTTAAGTTGGTTGTTTCTGTCTAACTTTGTATGTGAGTCTAACAGTGTGTCTACACTGCAAAAACAAAAACACACACATGGCAGAGAGTCTCGGAATCCACATCTGCAGACTTGAGCTTGCACAACAGAACAAAACTTGCAGAATAGACATTCCCTTTTAGGCTAAAGTTTTGAAATCCGGTTGGGGGTTGGAGGATCTTGGAGCTCAAGCTCCAGCCTGAGTGGGAACATGTATATTATTTTTAATGCCATAGCACAAGCCCGAGTCTGTAGACCCGGGCTCTGAGACTCACTGCTGCAGGGGTGATGGGGATGGGCTTTCTTTCTTTTTGTCTTGTCAGTATAGACATACCATCGGCGCTCTATACTGATTTCCCTTGATTTCTCCGCCCTTTGGTTGATGAGAATCATCCTCTGCTCAAGAGTCTCTCCTCCTTTGTGCTTCAAGCACTACCATTTTCTGTTTCTCCTTCTCTTGCTGACCACAATTTCTGTTTAGTATTCACTTAGTTTTGTATTGACAACAAAGGGGAAGGAACACAGG